TGGAATCAATATGTGTTGAGCCAACCGAGGCTCTGTGTTTCAGCTGCTGGCTTCAATTAACGGTGTAGTTTTGGAGATTGTTTAAAGAAAATGTTTTGGCAGCTTTTGTTTTTTTGTTAAATGTGATCGTGGTGCACTACAGCCTCGCGTGGCCAAATGAAGTATTACAACATTTAACATGATCTTTCCCCTGGCAAAAACTAAATGCCACCTGATCTTAATTCATGTACACACAACGGAAAAATATCTTCTCCCTTCCGTGAAAACATCACCTGCAAATTTAAAGACCGTCATTGAGAAACTGCGAAGCAATGAGAAAGATTCTGATATGAGATCCTCTCCATAAAAGTACACCCGTCCCTGCTTCCTGACAGATCAGTTTGAGAAAGTGAAGAAGTACTACCAGGAGTCGCTGACGGCGGAGGACAAATGCGACGCTTCAGTGTCGGGTCCTCTCAGTCCGGTGGAGCAGTCGAAAACAAGCCGCGCCGTCACCGAGAACCTGCTGAACGCCACCAGGGACAACTTCCTGCGTGCTCTGGCTGCTCAGAACAAATCGCTGAGCGAGCTGCAGCAGAAGGACCTGGACCTGGATAAGAAGGTCCATCACCTCAGCCATAAGGTAGACAATAGTGCAATCAATCATTTTTTAGAGAATAGTTATTCTTAAGAAGGATTGTATTATTTATTAAGTATACAGGAAAATTAAAGTTCTTGTATTTATTTTACTTTTTTATTTGGAAATATTGACAGACACAAAATACACTCATCTAATAGAACGTCACAATAAATAAATGGGAAGAGAAAAAAAAAGAAAGGGTTCACCTGCCCAGTGTCATTATACATTTGTACACACATACACTGTACATTTATATGTAGACATACTTGCATCACCTCAAATGGGCACAACATAACCCCAAATCAAGTGACAATACGATTGCTCCGTAGGTAGAAACATTGATAAATTAATAAATGTTATAAAACATTAATAAATAATATTTTGGCAATAAATGTTCCTGATATTCATTTTATATTTCTGTAATCTACAGCAACAAACGTTTCATGTGAATCACAATCCCTCCCTCCAGGTGTGTGGGGGTCACAGCAATGCCAGCGTCAACGGCAGTTGCCCACACAGCAGGTGCGGCGGCGCCGGTTGCCGCGACGATCAGGGCAATCCCGCGTGCGGGGGAGACGAATGCAACGGGACTGTGAGCACCTCTGTCAGAGCACTGACTCTCGCCAGGAACGCCACCGACCGCGTGAGCGCTGCCAACGAGGAGCTGCAGGGCGTGGCCAGAAAGGTCAGTTTTACTGAATGGAAGTAAGACTATAAAGTAGAGCACAGAGCCGCTCTGTTGACATCTGGGTGTCCCCCCCCCCCCCGTGTGCAGCTACAGGATATCGCCACTCTGACGCAGGATGTGAAGAACCAGGCGATGAACACGCTGGAGAAAGTGCAGAAGAAGAAGGACCAATTTGAGAACAACAACAAGAAGCTCAAAGATTTCATCAAGAAAATCCGAGACTTCCTGACCGGTATGTTGCTGTTGTAACTGGCTGTGGCAGAAAGGATCTTCCGGTGTGTCATGTGCCGTCTCTTCTCTCTGCTTCCTCCCTCTCGCCGTGCAGAGGAGGGAGCGGATCCGGAGAGCATAGAGAAAGTGGCTCTGCAGGTGTTGGCGATCACCCTCCCGGCCAACACGACCACTCTGGATAAAATGGTCATGAGGATAAAGGACAGGCTCTCAAACCTCACCGACGTCGAGGGGATCGTCAACCAAACGGCACAGCACATCCGCAAAGCCAAAGAGCTGCTCACCGAAGCTGAAGAAGCCAAGTGAGAAAAACTACTGCTTCGTTAAAATGTATTATTATGGCGAAATCTGACATGAACCATCCTGATTAAAGATTGCTTGCTTTGTTGGCTGACAAGGATCATTACGTTCACTCTGACGTCCTCCATCGATTACAACGCGGGACTCTGTAGCAAGCACCTGTTGTGTGTCTGATTTGCGGTGGGTTTGCACAGGAGCCGAGCAGAAGGCGTGAAAGACACAGCCAATAGTACCAAGCAGGCGCTGGATGAGTCCGAGAAGGCCATCAAGGAAGCGACAGATGCCCTGACAGAGGCCCACGACAACCTGAACAGCACCAGGAACGCCACGTTCGAGGTAAGGCCGCCCCCCCCCCCGGCCCCCCCCCGCTATTTCCCCGTCTGGGCTTCAGGCTCTTTATTTTAAGTGCTGGTTTCCCTTCCCCATGTCCTTCCCCACCCTCTCGCGCCATCTCTAGGTGGCTGAGAGGCTGAGGCAGCTGGAGGAGAAGCAGGACGATGTCATGACGCGTTTAAACAACTTGACCGCGGAGGTGGAAGCTCTCCGAAACAAGACGGAGCAGAACAGACAGATGGCAAAGGACGCCAAAGCACTGGCCAGCAACGCCACGCGAGAAGCGTCCTCGCTGGAGCAGGTGAGCATGTCGGCGAGAAGATGTTCTTGCGTTGAACGAGTTTTACCAATGTGTCAATGATTCATTCCTGGCATCCGACTACTGCGCTGTCTCTCACAGAGCCTGAACGACACGGAGGAACGGTACCGGGAGCTGCAGATGAAGGTGGACTCTCTCGGTGGAGAGTCTGGAGGTTTGAACAGCATCAACAGCAAGGTGAAGGACATCCAGAAGGAGGCAGAAGACCTCTTAAACAAAGCCAGCCAAGGGATAGAACAACTCAGGAGTGAGTACACAAAGCCGCCCGCTCGCGACGCGCTCTGGACTCATCGGCCATCGTTTACCATTTTAGAATAATGGGTCACTTTTCCATTAAAAAAATGTCTAAAAACAACATTTTCTATTATATGATTTGGGTGTTGGCAAATGTTTCGCTGCAGAGTAGACTGCTTCATTGTAATTTAAGAGGATATAACTGTTATATATGAGACAGTTTGTAGGTAGAATTTCTATTTTATTGTTGAAGCACTTGTGCGTTTATACACACACATCCCAAAAGTTTTTGGTAGCTTTGCAAATTCATTGATAAGGAAACAACCTGCGACGCTGCCCTGCTGTAGAAAACATCACAGTTTGGTGGGAATACATCTCGGTGCTTTTGCATCATGTGTTAGTTTTGTCGGACCTGTATCGATGCTCACAACGATTTGAAGTCATCCTATCACACATTCTGTAGTTTGTCTCATTTTTTGAAACGCTCAAGGCACTTTAACAATCCCCGCTGATACTCGCTGACCGCTGTCTCCCTCTCTGTGTGTTGGCAGAATTGGAGAAGAAGTTCAAGAGTAACGAGGAGCGGATGGAGAATCAACGCATGGAGCTGGACCAGCTGAAGGACAACGCCACTGTGGTGCGCGATGAGATCCGGGCTCAAGTGCAGAAGTACAGCAACTGTGATTGAGGGTCGGAACGGTTCCCTGCTTCACCATTTGCTGCCGTAGTCCAGACAGGAGTCTCTCGACCGGGGGCAGAGAAAACTACGTCACCATGAGAACAATGAGCTGCCCTGATGCTCCCGTTGTTTCTCTGCTACATCAAGTTTTACCCGTTACAGAAAGGCCTTCCGTTGTCCATGAACTGCACCACTTTTTGACTCTGTCAACACTGTCCCATGTGACGTTTGTCTACTTAAGCTATTACAACAACATAATAAGAGTATTTACATAGTCCACCATGATTTAATGAATAATAAACAGAAGAAGTATATCAGATTGGTATAAAAACGTTATTATTATTATTTTGACCAAAGGTGCTTTAATGATTGTGTGTTTTTGCTATAACTTGAACACAGTTGTATGGTATTTTTAATATAACATTCCTATTAGGAGACATTTGGGAAAGTTGAATTGTGTGTTTTTTAATTACAAAGGAAACTCCTTTACTGAATAATTAAATGTATATTATTCCTTAAAGCTAAATTCATTTCAAGCTGCGCCGATGGAGACAAATAAAGGTGATAACATTCATGTAAAGTCGCCACATCACGTGTCGTGTTTTGTGCGATAACTTGTGCGCATTCTGACGAGTTCACGCCGCGCAACTTATCTGTTAGTGCGTCACTTCCGTTCTCTGCCGGAAGGGGGCGCCGTTGTACTGACCTGCCGCCCTCCTATCAACACGGGCACGCGGACACCTTGACCAGCGCAGGTGTAATCAATGACACTAATGACAACAGCTTCATCACTGCGGGAGCTCATAGGAACACCGGACAGAACAGGGACGCCATTGAGGTAAGAGTGCGTTTCCCAATCAAAGCTCCAGACGGACGGATGCAGGACGTCAACCTGCCGGGGTCGGTGGACTGTGCGCGGCCACGAGCTGCTCGCGATCAAAGGGAACGTGATCCATGCGGCGGGAGCGCGCATTCCTTTCTGCTCGCAGACACTCGCGGCTCGCGGGAAAACATGTAGAGGAGTCAGCTTTTCGCAGTTGTTTTTTATTCGTTTTATTTGACAAAATATCAGTATCGCGAGGGAATACAAAGCTTTTTATTGTACATTGTCCATATAACAACCTTTTGATCGAAAGGTTTTTTTAAATGAAGATACAGTGATATTCACCGCCCGACTTCTCCAGAATGATTCAAAGTAAAATAAAAGTTGTTGGTATTGAACCCTCTGGTTCCTGTCGATGGTGCAACTCACACTCTTAAGTGCCCTCAACTTAGTCGTTGTGGCTCGTAGAAAACAACTACAAAATGAACCATTCCCCCCAAAAGAAATTATCAAGCTGCTCCAACAAAACGTGGATGGGTCAATTTGATCTTCTTTATAAACATTTCAAAGAATGTTAAATCACTTGTGCTACTGACAGTCCATTGTTTTAAGATGGTATGTATGTGTGCTCACACTTCGCAATAACGTGTTCTTGAGCCACAACAACACTACTAAACCGTGAGAGATTCTATATGGATGGCGTCACTATCCGGGTCTGTAACCCACGGGACTCGAACTGACGTCCGCGCCGCGCACTCCTCCCCCTCCAGCTCTGCGGAGCTCCATCCCGGGGTTTCCGACGCGCCGCCGGCGGAGCCGATGTCTCCTCAGCTCTGCCTCAGCCTCGCATCCGTCCGGCGACTCCGCAGCAAGTGGACCGACAGAGGAGCCTGAGCGCGGACCCCGACCCGGGAGCAAACATCTGGAACAGCAGGGTGAGGGTACAGCTGCCCACGGAGGAGGTCGTTAGGACGAGCTTTAAAGCTTTAAAGAGTCACACGCGAGAGGAGAGTGTGTTGTCCATGTAATGAACCTGTAGCAGAGGACCGGACCACAAACAGTGCGGACTCTTCGGTAGACAAGTCACAACTAAAAGGTCATTTAGATACTTTAGTGACAAAGAACATTCCGTTTTCTAAAGTTTTCTTCTTCTTCAATGTATTTATCTTGTGTGCAGTTCGTTTTCTCCCGGCTGTGTGTGGTGTCCCGTGGAGAGATGCACGCGCCGCTACTGACGCTCTTCTGCGGTGAGTTTCCCTTTAAAGTCGCTCCATCCTGCTGCTCCATCTTAACACATCCTCACAGGTGGTGCACTGAGCTGACCACCGTGTCCAGGTCACTCAGGTGATTCCACTCGAGCACATGTCAGAGAGTAAGGATGTTTAACACCGGATAAGAGGTCGCTTCGCTTCTGAGAGTAACATTTGTGCTGTGACTCGGCTCAGGGGAAAGAATAAACTATTCACCCTCTAAAACCCATCTTCATAAAAACCAACATCGTCCTGTGCAAAACTGCCTCTTATGTTTAACTTTTGAAATAGGAAGGAAAAAAGTTTATGTTATATTCCAAAGTGGATGCCAAAAGAACACCTCATTAATTTGAGTGCGTTCATTATGTTGTCTTTTGGTTGGCAGGGTTCTTCAGTAGTGTTTGCCAGGTTGCCCCTGGCAACCGTTTCAATAGATATGCAGGCAATTTTTGGCGTTTTAAAAAAAATATACCGACATCGAAACAAAGCTAACGTGCATTCCACAACATTCACATGTTATTATTGTTTTTGGTCCCGTTTTTAGTCACATATTACCTCAACAGACTCGCTGCGTTTACTCGCGTGCGCACAGGCTTTTGGAGAACTAAAAATGGCAACTACACTTTTGGCAACCGACCGTTGATGCCGGAGCGATGTGGAGACCTGGTTCTCCCCGTTAACTCCCACTGCACACGTGGTTGTAACGTCTCACATCCTCTTGGGACACACGGAACCACCTGAACACAGTACAGAGGAGAAAAAAACCCAGGAGCCAGAAGAGGGAAGCGTGCGGCCCCGGCTCAGAGATAAGATAGCTGATGTTTCTTTTTTAGGGCCCCGAGGTGCCCCGATGGCCTCTGGGATCGTCCCTGCGCCTCGGTCTCGCTCTGTGGGTGGTGTCGCTCTGTTTATGGTCCTCCTAAAACAGCCCAGCTGAGTCCGCAAATAGAAGACAGCCACTCCACACCTACCACTGTTTGAGAGCCTTCTGGATGTGTGCTGCTCGTTTTGTGCCTGCGCGTGTGTGCGTTTGAGAGACGGGGATAAAATAAGGCTATGTGGAATGAAGCGATTCAAACAAAACACTCATTTCAAGCCACCGGAAAATTCTGAAATGCTGTGTTAACACCTGCGCTACGCCAAAGCTAATTGTGCTCAATACTATCAGTTAGCTCAGGGTTTATCTGACTAATGAGCATCAATAAAACGCCTCCCAAGGCTTTGTTCCCTACAGCCGAAGACAATGGGCTCATTGCTCCTGTTAAAGTCCATTAGTGCCTGCTGTTGGCACCCGGGGTCCCCCTCATGTCACATTATCAGTGAGCACAAGTGTGGCCCTTTGCAACAGCCTTCCCACCGTTTTTAGTCACGGTTTCCTCCACAGATCAAGATGAAAGACTTTGTAGATGAACAAAAGAACATGTACACACTCCAAAGCCTTGAAAAAGCAGTGGCGCTCCCACACAAACTGCTTTTTCTAAGCAAAAGTCAAAGTTCGGGCCGAATGGGGGATTTTAAATGTGTGTTTGCGTAGCTCTCGGTTCAAAGTAAGCAGGGCTGAGCGGACTAATAAGAGAACCATGTCGCGGGATCTGCTTTTCATCTCTGAACCAGAAGCCCACTCATCTCGAAGATGAGTATTTACAAAACACGAGCGCTGAGCCGTGTGGACAGACCGAAGTGTGTCTGGAGAGGAAGGAAATAAGAAGAGTTACAGGCCGAGAGAGAGGGGCCGGGTCGCCTCAGAGAATGTTAGAGAAAAAATCGAGGGATGGGGACGTGTTTCAGGTCACAAAGTGTGCGTGTGTGTGTGTGTGTGTGTGTGTGTGCGCGCCTATAAACCTCACACACTGTCATTATAGAGACAGGGAGCCGTCCATCCAGACTCCTGTCGCCTCTGAGGACATGCTCCGAGGTCAAGGGTCGTGTCCAAAACCCCCCCAGGGCAGAGACGGGGTTAATTGGTGTGTGTGTGTGTGTGTGTGTGTGTGTATTAGAGAGAGTAAAAGGACTCAAGGGACAAAGGAGCCTGCAGTGCCTCCTCTCTTCTCCTTCCCCTTTCTATTTGTATTCTTCTTCTGAGGGGGAGGACCTGTAGGAAGCTGCCCATGTGTGTTTGTGTGTGTGTGTGTGTGTGTGTGTGTGTGTGTGTGTGTGTGTGTGTGTGTGTGTGTGCATCTCCAAACATTATCTTGTTGAGCAGATTAGATTTTTTAGCAAATACATCAGGAAATAGGACACTATGCCCTCTTCTTGTAGCTTTCCCAAGAAAAACCCTGATAATACATTTTTGGATCATTGATTGCTTCTGAGTGTCATTAGGTAAGTTCTTTTTCATGAAGGGATGTTATTTAGTTCAAGTCATCATTATTTTGGAAGTAGGGAGGAAGGCAGAGATGACGGAAGCAATTAGGAAGGGAAGGGGAACTCAACATGAAAGAGGATGAAGCTAAATCCTCTGTAATTCTTAGAGGTTTTACTCTGAAGGAACAGGATAAAGTTGAAGTGGGGGGGGCAGGTGAGGCCTGGCATTACGCAGCAGTGGGAGTGGGAGAGTGCGTTTCCCGAAGCCTTTGTAAAGCGCCAGCCTCCGGAAATGTGCGGATGCCAGAACAATGGTGCGGTAAAGCCTTCAAAACACCAGCACTAGAGACAGCGAGGGAGAGAGGCTGACATATTGGAGGGGGGGGGGAGCAAAGAGGAATCAGGACAAAGAGGGAAAGAAAGACTTTAGGCACGGGGGGGGGGAACAGGTTTGTGACTGAAAGGACGGTGAGTTAGGTTTCTTTTTGTGGATAAAAAGAGGAGGTGGAGACGCAGGAGGAGGAAGACTTGAGGGGGAGGATGAAGGGGCATGGGGAGGAGGAGGAGGAGGAGGAGGAGGAAACGGAGATGGCCATGTGTTTCCAGTGTGGAGAGGAGCAGGCGTGTACACCACCAGGAGCACTGATAGCAGCTTGTCTTTAGGGTGTAGTAATAGATCCAGTACATTTTGCATTAGCTCTGCACTACGTCCTCATGCCCACCGATAAAACACAGCTGAAAACAGAGCCGAGGACACTTTGACCCGCCACAGTAAAAACACGGTTGTAGATGTTAAAAAACGTGATGGCTGAGTTCCATTTAGCTGCCTCAGTTGTGCAGGCCGACTCTCTCTCTCTCTCTGTCACACCTGGTGCATTTACATCCACCACATTTTATTTTCATGTTCAATTTGAAGAATTCAGAAAGAAACATGACCACGTTTGCATTGTCAGGAGTTTGTCCTTGTTTGAGAGACAGCGGTTTCATGTTTTCACACGATTGGGATACGGACAGAATTGTCTCCATGTCACACATGCAGCCTCTTCCTTTTCCTCTGTGTGATTCTTTTATTGCCACTGGGAAAAGGCCTAATAACAGGTTGTGCTGTGCGGCTTGATAGAACACACAGACCCCTCTAATTATCTAATAGCAGCAACTACAGTGTGTTACTGCAGCACGTCAGGAGGGATGGAGAAGGAAGGAAGGATGGATGGATGGATGATGGATAGACGGCAGGAGGGGAGGAAGGAAGACAGAGACAAAAGAGGAAGAAAGTATAGTACCCAGTTGATGTGATGGTTACTTTCTTGAGCTATTCAGTGTGTTGCTGACCTCTGGCTACATGGTGTTTGGGTGTCATGCTGGAGCCCTGTAATCACACACGCACACACAAACAGTTTAGTGCGACCTCGTACACGAAGGCCAGCTGTTCCCCAGGTCACCTCTATTTGAGTGTTAATGACACGAGAATAACCTTTTACCACATTGTGGTTTCAATTTAGCAGCATAAATATTCATGTCACGTAAGGCTCCTCACATACTGAACATGAAGAGAAGCAGGAGGGATTTTGAAGCGGAGTAGTGTTCTCCCACTCTCCTTTCCGGCCTCCTCACACGGGGTCGTCGTCGGTTCAAATCTAAAGCTGAAAAATAACTTCACACACATGCAGCACTCCCCCGTGTGTGCTAAATTACACCCAGAGTATGCGGCCTTTGCCTTTGGCCACGCCGAGGTTACCCTCCTGTCTCCCACACAGGAAATGACTCGGCAGCCCCGCTCGTAGGTCAACATACGGGCGTGCTGAAGAACCAAACGTGCACTTATTTGGAGAAAACACAGGCGCACACGGTCATTAGCCAGATTAGCATAAGACTCCAACAGGTCTACAACACACACACTAATGACTCGTGTGCTGTGGTTTAAGTGGAGCCAGACTTCCTTCATCAGAGGTAGTGATTAGCACCTTCAAGGAGCACATGTGCACTCACACACACACACACACACAACCAACCGAACCCGCAGCGACCGTCTCGCTTCAGATGAGCGGCTGCCTGAGCGACGGGCTGCCGGCAGCATCTGCTGGCCACGTGTGGCTGAGGACGATACGTTGGTTTAGGGTCGTCCTAGTTGACACTAACACTGATGTACATGTTCGATTTCGTGTGCTGCAGCGGCGCGACTCTCTGACACTAATCGGGCATTTCCCCAGGGTGAGCGCAGAGGTCAGACAGTTTCACATTGACGTCTACCAGAATGATGATAATTCAGCAGTAACTGCAAACACGTGGGAACGCGGGACGGGCGGTGGATGTGCTTGGCGTGAGTGCGGAGTTTCCAGCCCGCCCCTCTCTCCCTCTCTCTCTGCACTGTCCACCTGTTGCTGATGATAGTCCCCGTTTCCCCTCCAACATGGGGGGATTCAGACGTCTCCGGAATGGGAATGCTTCCTCCGGTGGGAGCAGCTGTCTCTCAGTGCCGGGGCTTGTTAATCTAACAGGCTGTGTAATGGTCAGCGTCTGGTCACACTCAATGAAGCCCAGACAGGCAGGCAGTCAGTGACAGAACAGCTGGGGAAGATTCAAAGCTCATGTCACAACAAGCTCCAGCAGAGACAGAACCAAGTTATCTATAGACCCATTCCAGAGATTGCATGCAGCCAGCGGGTATATTACCTTTTGTGTGACGGGTTGCT